CCTGAGAATAAGGTCAAAATCTACCTCTTTCATACGAGGTTGTTTCGACTGATAGTTCGAGGGGCGGAACCATGAGACTTTTTTAGAGAGGGGAGACTCATGTTCTGTCTGGAAAGGGGAACAGTGGCGTAACTAAACATTGTTTAATATAGGGGCTAACTGGAAAAGCACTATTGCTAATTAGATTTTTCATTTTTGGAAAGGTTTGGTTCTTTTGCGAAAGGTTTCTCTTTCGAAATGTTTGATTCGTTTTATTGTTTTTAAAAGGTTTATGCAGATTAGTTTCATTAGAATGGTTAGTTGTCGATGCTGGACAAAACGCGACTTTTGATTCTAGAATACTGTCCTGTTGGTAACAGAATCGGAGAAGCCTTGATTTTCTGATTAGGGTGTCCTGGGTAGAATTTCGGTAAATCTTGTGGTAGTATCAGAAGAAGTACTGCTAGAAGGAGCATTACTAGAAGAATTAGCTGAAGAAGCATTAGCAGAAGCAGCATTACTATTAGAAACATTAGCAGAAGCAGCACTACCATTAGAAACATTAGCAGAAGCAGCACTACCATTAGAAACATTATCAGAAGCAGCATTACCGTTAGAAACATTGGCAGCAGCATTGTTATTAGAGTTAGCAGAAGAAGCATTAGCAGAAAAAGAACCAAAGAGTACTTCCAAAAAGCAACCAAAAGAGAAAGTAAATCAGTAAAATAAGTAAAGCTAGCAGAAGAAGTACAACCAAAAGAGCATTTCCAGTAAAGCTTAAGTAAAACAAAGTAGAAGTCAAGTTGAAGTAACTGAAATTAAAAATCAAGTTGCCTGACGCTATAGACAAAAGTGACACGCGTTGTCATGCACAACATTAGTCGATAACAACACAAAAGTTGAAGTTGCTATCGATTCATCAAGGACGTGTACAATACCCATCGGGTGTATAATTGTTGTGCGTGCTTTCCAGTCCGACGAGATCAGGTAAACGTGCCGTAAGCAATGTAAATTGTAAGGTCGAGGCTCAGGCACTACTCTGTCGCCAGAAAAATCCTAAACAATCGGCAACGTTGCCGAGTCTCTTATTTTACTGCGGCAGCAGTGTTGTGACATCGTTTCACCGTTTCACGCTCCACTTATCGTATTCCACTAACTTTCCCATGTAAATATTACCCTTTTTTTTGTCGTTTCTTTCCGTTTATGTTTGATTCGCCCTTAAAATGACATAATTTTTTTTAAGCCAGGATTTACACACATACATACACTCTCTCTTTGGAGAATGTTTGTCCTTACCGGGTGACAATGCTCTTGCAATGTTACGCAACCCTGTATACTATAACGAGATTAACTGTTTAGCTCCTCCACATTGTGCAAAACCTGTCAATCTGGATTGAACCGACCGTAACTTGCATGCTTGATATTCATTAGTGAAAAGACAAACAAATAAATAAAAGAAAATTGTTTTCAAACTACAATTCGTAGTATTATTTTTGTACTATTTTGTATCCCATTATATGTACAACCTATCTATTTTGTACTAGGTTTTTTTTTAGTTATAGTGTTTCTATTTAACGAACATGCGGAGTCTACTTTAGGGTGCCAGGTCACTTTTGGCTTGGCGCTAAAATTAATGCGGGTGGGCGTATTTTCAGAGTGGTTGGTTGCCAAGCTTATATATCTGAGAAACGACAGCTGTCTCGATATCCGTTCCTTAAAGGAACAAGGTTCTATTTGCCTACAAAAACCCTCTTCATTGTATATTCTTCATGAGAGAAGATGTTCTCCAATCCACGGTTGTCTTCAAGCACTTTTAGGTTTACCTAAAATGAGTCAAAATTGTGCTAACGCAGTTTTATCTGGAATCGGCCCAAGATTCCAAATTTTCATTTCCGAAAATCGTAGCTGATTCTTTTTTCGAAAAAAACCAAAAAAACATATATATATATGGGCAATTCCACGTGAGCTTTTAGTCGACCTCTTAAAATCGGCCAAAAATATTTTTTTTCTATTCTGTATCGAAGAAAAACAGATACGTATTTTTTTATTTTTGTTTAATTGTCCAAATTCTCGAGTTATGAATTTTCGAAATTTTGGACTTGTAATTGTAGACCTATATTTAGTAGCTTATAAGTCCGAAAATATTGAGTTTAGGAAAAATTTGTCACAGAATGAAAGTTTTAGTTTTCTTTCGACTTTTAAGAAATGTAAACAAAAAATTTTTTTAAAATTTTTTATTAAAAAATTTTTTTTTTTTTTGTAAACAAATTAATTTTTTTTAACTTTAGCCCGGATTTTTTTTATTTTTTTTAAATTTATTTATTCCTTATAATATAGAGGAAGATTTTCCAAAAAATCCCGAGAGGTGGGACTGATGTGTTGAATGAGTTTTAAAACATTTTCAAAAATTACTTGCAATCATCACAGTGGGATTTTCTTACAATTAACTTCTAAAATTGTCTATACAGCGTAGATCCTTTAATTTAAAAAAAGAACTCTCAAATAGATTAAAATTATACACTGTAGACAATTTTAGAAGTTAATTGTAAAAAAAATCCCACTGTGGTGCTTGCAAGTGATTTTTGAAAATGTTTTAAAACTCATTCAACACATCAGTCCCACCTCGGGACTTTTTGAAAAATCTTCTATATATTATAAGGAATAAATAAATTTAAAAAAAATAAAAAAAATCCGGGCTAAAGTTAAAAAAAATTAATTTGTTTATAAAAAAAAATTTTTTTTAATAAAAAATTTAAAAAAATTAACAAAAAATTTTTTTGTTTACATTTCTTAAAAGTCGAAAGAAAACTAAAAGTTTCATTCTTTGACAACTTTTTCCTAAACTGAATAATTTCGGACTTATAAGCTACTAAATATAGGTCTACAATTACAAGTCCAAAATTTCGAAAATTCATAGCTCGAAAATTTGGACAATTAAACAAAAATAAAAAAATACGTATCTGTTTTTTTCGATACAGAATAGAAAAAAAATATTTTTGGTCGATTTCAAGACGTCGACTAAAATCTCACGTGGAATTGCCCATATATATATGTTTTTTTGGTTTTTTTCGAAAAAAGAATCAGCTACGATTTTCGGAAATGAAAATTTGGAATCTTGGGCCGATTCCCGATAAAACTGCGTTAGCACAATTTTGACTCATTTTAGGTAAACCTAAAAGTGCTTGAAGACCACCGTGAATCCGAACTGATACTTTGTTTCCGGTTATTCCTAATTTCGGAGATATTCTTTTCTCTATAAAAGCATTCCACACTGCTGAGAAGCATTACCTGCTTCTCTCAATTGTTCTTTTTCTCCTGACATCATTTCAGTCCTTTACTATATATATATGGTGCCCTCCAATACAAGATTTGTGTCATTATTCTTGCCCAATAGTTTCTCAAGTTCAATCGTTTCAACACCTGAAATAAAAATAAGTTATAGTCCCTCTCTTTTAAGAATAGAATAGAAAACACCTAGATACGTATTCAAGACTATAGTCTTCAATGAAAAGTTCTCCAATACAAGAGTTCGAGAGAAAAGAGAATTTGAAAAAAATTCATCTCTAATGAGGATATTCTTTGTTATCAAAGTGTTTGGTTCTTCTTTTCTTTAAGCATTCTTCTCTATGATAATTTTTGCTCCAAAGTATTTTTTACAAGAGGAAGTCGAATAAGGAGTAAATTGTAGAATGAGAAGTACAGCAGGATATTGAGGGGAAAAGCTTTTTTTCCAGAGAAACACAAATTGTATAAGGAGTAAATTGCAGAAAGAGAAGTAGAGGAGGATATTGAGGGAAAGAAGAGCATAGAGACGGATCGATTTGAGTTGTTGGAGGTATGGAATATATTGTTGTAGGGGGTTTTTTTGTGTGTACTTGCTAGATGTGTATATATGGTGTATAGAAAGAACAAGTTAGACGTTTGGTTCAATGACCAAAATGAGAATATGGTGTATTATCGATCACGAAAGGGCGCTCTCCAGTAAAAAGGGGCCGATACTATACTGCAGTAGTATAATGCATGTTGCAGAGAGAGACTACTCCCAGCCCTAAAGGAGAGCTATATACTCTCATGTAGGCCATTCACTCACATGTAATACTATAACACACTATCTTTCCTCATACAACCACCCTAAACACAATCTCTCTCTCTCTCTCTCCCCCTTATATATATAGAAATGGAAGGTTCAAAGTCCTTGCACAAAGAGTTATATACTATAAATATAACATTTCATTCCCCAAGGATCTTATAGAAATTATTATCGTCTACTATTGATCCATTTAATTTTAGCTCATTTTTGCTATTTTTATCCAAGCATATCCTGGAGCATATCTTTTTTTGTATTTAGTTGCAGGGGAAATTTTAGTCAGTGGAATTTTTTTTCTTTTTGCTGATTCATTTCGGGAGTTGAGAATCATTTCGGAAATCGGTCGAGAGGGAGCAGTTAAAATTTGGAAGCAAGAACAGTTGTTTGATAATTTTTCAAACTTTAATTTGAATTAATAAAAGTATGGTAAATCTATTTACCATCCTTTATTAATCTTTTTATTAATTCAAATTAAATTTGATCCTTTTATTAATATAATACTGGCTTTTACCTTTAGAGGTCCTGGCTGGGCACTATAGTGCCCACCATTATTTTAACGAATTTTTTTATCGAATTGACTTCTTATTTATAAATTTAAAAAATAAAAAACTACTAAAATTTGTGCAAATTTACCGGACCTCTAAAGGTTAAGAAAATAATTTCAACCTTCGAAAAAATTTATTCTTCAAAATTGAATTTGAATTTTTAATTAATTAATTAATTAATTAATTAATTAATCAATTGATTTTTTAATTGAGAGAATGTGTGAGGAAAAATATTTTGGCTGTAATAAAAAAATGGTTGTGTAAAAAGTTAATGAAATTTGCTTTTAGAAGTAAATTAATAAAACGAAAACGAATAAAAGAGAATTAATAAAATAGAAATCAATAATATATAAACAAAATAAAACTAAAGAACAATTTTTTCCTTTCAGGATACTCTTGTACATGGGCTCTCGGCGGATAGGCAGGGTTTTGCAAAGGGCTTCCGAAAAAATCTCGGAGGACGTTGGCGTCGTTTGGTGAAAAGAAAACCGGAAACGGACACATGTGCGTTTCCACCAGAAATCAAGGATCAATTGAAGACCATCTATGTGTATTGACAATCTCGGGAGGGGAAAAAAAAATAAGAAGAAGAAGAAGAAAAAATGGACCATTACCACTACGTTGTTGGACCCATTTTTTTTCTCTTTACTATTATTATCATCTGTGAACCTTCCACTCGATAATCTATGCTTTCCTGTATTGTAAGATAATTAAAATGACGAGAGATTTTCAAAGAATGTGCTGTGAGAATGAATTGAGTGCTTGTGTGACTTTTTTTTTTGTATGCGTGTAACTGTTGTTTTTTTTTAAGTGAAGAGCGACCATTGTCAAAAAAAAAAAAAAAAGAATAATTGTAAAGTAAAAATCAGCAAGAGAAATGGAATATTATGTAATTTCTGTAGAATAAGTTCTAGGCTTCGGTTGTTAGAAAAAAATGGCTCTTGGTCGATTGTAACGCTTCGCAATTTCTTGATTTTTTTGATTTTGTAAATTTTTCTTTTCAATTTTAATTAACTAAATTTAAACTTTGGTTTTTATTGCTAATTCCAATTACAGTACTTTTACATTATTTTTACATTTTTCACGGTAAAATTGCGTTACAATTAAATTACATATACATTACAGTCAAGTTTTTTGAATTTTTAAACTACTTTTGAATTTTTTAAACTAAATTTTTTGAATTTATTTTAAAAAAATTTTTGAAGTTAGAATTTTTTACACTACAATTTAATTTTTTAGATTACAATCGAGTTCTTTACATTTAAATTATATTACATTTACATTGCACTCAAATTACATTTACATTACAATTAAATTAACAGAAGAATTCTTTAAAGTCAGAGAATTCTTTCTTTGATTTCAAATTCTTCGATTCAGACGAACTCTTTTTTTTTGGAGAATTTATTTCTTTTTGAAAAAAGAAACTGAAATAAAAAAAATATTGAGAAATTGTGAAGTGAGAATTAGGTGTGAAACAATACATATCATAAGAGCACAGTGCCTTACTAGAAGCACCAAAACTGGAGAATTAGGCCTTTTACAATTTTAAATTAAAACGAACCACTTTAGATCGATTTGTATTGTCAATTTTAAAAAATACCAGAGTGCCTTTCTTTAAGAGAGAATTTTAGTCAAATTTAGTCAAATTTAATCAAATTTAATCAATTTTACTCAATTTTAATAAATTCTAGTGAATTTGTCCAACTTTTTGTAGATTTCTGTAGATTATTGTAGATTTTACTGTAGATTTTTCAGATTCGATTTTTCCATTATTCTCCAGTTAGGGCTTTAATAATTAAGTGCACACTAAATTATCCGACCAAGAAAGTGCCTTTCCTTCCCCCTCGAAACATTTTTCATCATCAACAAAAAAAAGGGGGAAGTAACGCGTTATTTATTTGCAATTAGTTCCGCTATTACATTGCTAGCGGTATATACCAGGAGCGCTGAGGAAAAACGATTGATCCGTCCAAGTTCTTTCGTTAAATATAAAAAATAAGGCGATTATTTAGAAAAAAAAAAAATAAATAAGAGCAAGTTTAACGGTGAAGCTAGCGATGAGTGGCGGAATTAATGTGTCTCTCGTTTTGTCAACGGTATTTAATAGACGCGAATAGAAAATACGAATAAAACTGGAGTCGTTGAACTTGTGGTTCCGCTGAACGACGTGGCGCAAAAAAGAAAGAAGAAGAACTTGATGAGACTGAAAAAAAATAAAAGAAAAAAAAGAAGAAAAAAAAATAAATAAATAAACGTAAAGTGTACGACAAAACGAGTTACCTCGTAGCTTTTGTGTACGTTTTTACACACTCGATTATAGTTTTTAGAGAGACTAACTGCGAAAGAAAGAAAAATATTAGTATTATTGTACACCGAGAAACACACGAGCCTTGGGTGCTGCCTTTCCATAGGCTTTCTTTATTCTTCTTCTTTGTCATTTGCATCTCTTGGCAGCTCCGCGCTCAGTGATCAGGTGTATAGCAATAAAAAAAAAATCGCATTCGCCTTTAAAAAATCTTGTACAGCTAAATCCTCGCACTGAGTTTGTTCTGCGTTTGTCGTTACTTTTTTCATTTCTTCTTCTTACACAGGAAGTGTAAATGTAAAAAGTCAATTTTCGAAAATGAAAAAATCGACATTTGCTTTATTCACTCATGTGTTTTTTTTTACGGATAAGGCCGAATAAGACTATTGAAAATGAATAAGAAAAAAATTGCAAAAAAAACGATACGACTCATATTGAGTCCTTATCATTACGATAATATGGTATTTTAGTTGAATTGTTGTATTAAATGGCGTTACTCAAATTCAAGAATAAAGAGTCGCGATTCTTGACATTAATAATTAAAAAACAAAAATATTCGAACATTTCGTGTTGTTCGTCTTCGTAAATAGTTAATTTTTTAAGTGAACAGAATGTGAACAGAAAGAAAAAAAATTTGTCAAAATTTTTTCTTTTAGTATATTTGTATATTAAAAAAAAGGCCAGGTATTTGGACCAAATACAAGTGGAAAAATTATATTTTCTTCTATTATCTTTGTTCCTTTGTAGAGATTAAACAACAGTGATTTTTAGAATTTAAGAATTAAAAAAACAGGACATTAAAAAATGTGTAAATAGAGAAAAACAAAAAATGTATTGTGTATACGTTTATTTAAATCTGCGGTTAGGCATAATATATGATACCGTATTAAACAACGATGTGATTACATATCCTCCCTCTCCATCTCCACCATTGTATATCATTCAGTTTCTGTAATTTCTTTTTTTTTCTTTTTTGTTTTTGTAAAGAATACAATAGGATGAGGCTGCGTTCTCACTTACCTAGTCACTTGTTTAATAATGCGAAAAAAAAGTTGTTTCACTAGATTTATTTCTAATGTGCAGCTTCTTTATTTTTTCCAACAACATGTCTAAATACAACAATATCAAATAAAGTATTAAAATATGACTTTTTATTTTCATCCGTCTAATCCTCTCTTTTTCAGGTTCGTAAATAGTTGATGATAATTATTATTTTTGATGAAAAAAATTCATTTTCAAAAAAGCGTGTACATTTTGAAAGAAAATATGTACATTTGGAATTTATTTGAATAATTGAAATTCTGGTTATGACGATTCATAAAAATTAAAATTATTTTTTCGAATTAAATTTTTAAATTAAAATTTACAAATTAAAAGTTTAAAATAAAAATCTTCAAATAAAAGTTATAAATTAAAATTAAAACGCAAATTTTCAAATTAAAGTTTTAAATTAAAATATTTTAAGTAAAATTTTAAATTTTAAATTCAGAAATTCTAAAAAATTTTTTAATAAAAATTTACAACATAAAATTTTTAAATACAAATTTTGAAATTTATAAAAAAAATTGTAAATTAATATTTGAATAATTTTCGAGCTTCAAATGAATTTTTGGAAAAGAATTATTTTGCTAACTACTTTTGTTAAAAATTTTAAAATTAAATTATTTAAACTGAAATTCTCAAATTAAAATTCTAATTTAAAATCTTCAAATTAAAATTTTTTAATTAAAATTTTCAAATTTGAGTTTCTAAATTAAAAATTTTAAACGTAAATTTCTAAATTCATATTTGAAAACTTTCATTTCTAAATTAAAATTTTTTCAATTAAAATTTCCAAATTAAAAGTTTTAAATTTAAAATTTTCAATTTATAAAAAAGATGGAAATATATTTGAATAATTTTCAATCTTGAAATAGATTTTTGGAAAAGAATTACTTTGTTAACTATTTTTTTAATAAAAAATTTTAAATTTATAAAAAAAATTGTAAATTAATATTTGAATAATTTTTGAGTTTGAAATAAATTTTTAGAAAAGAATTATTTTGTTAAAAATTTTCAAATTAAATGTCACGTGCTCGTGTAAAGAGTGCGCATGACTTTGAGAAACAAGCATGGCGTTTATCATTTATCGAGTTTTGTAATTGAAAAGAAAGTTTCTTGATTATTTTGATTTTTGCTTCAATTTTAACAAATTTTAATTTTCGAAACTTGATGTCGTTGATATTTAGAAATCATTTGAGTAAGTTTTTAATATTTTTAAATAAATTTTTATAAAACTGGTGGTATTTTCAAAATATTAATTTCAATTTCATAATTTTAAATATATATTCAAAATGTTTCTTTTCGTTTTAAATTCCATTAAGTGCTTAAAATTAAATTTTTTAAATTAGTTTACTTAATTCATATAATTAAATTAATTCATAAATTTATTTATTTATTTAATTACATTCAATGAAAATTTTCGACTCAAAAATAATTATTTTCAAGTTTATTTACAAAATTTTTGTCTTATTTTATCAACTAATGGGCAATTTTACAAAAATTGATAGATTATTTCTCGAGATGTTTTTCTTTATTTTTTAAACATTTGTTATTTGAACAGAAATTAAAAAATCAATTTCAACAAATTGTGAAATTGCTCGTTATTAAACAAAATAAAATCGAAAAAGGAAAAACAATTGAATTTTTCGATTTTAATTTACAAACTGATTGAAAACGTATAAAATGTGAATAATTTTTATTATTATTAAAAATATGTAGAGTAAATGAATATTTTTTATTAACACTATTCATTAATTTCAGGGTTAAATGTAAAATCACTTTTTCGAACAATGGTCAATTCGGGTGAAGAGAAACCGATGGAGAATGCAATTAGAAAAAAATTAGAAGAGGCATTGAGTCCAAAACATATGGAAATTTTAAATGAATCTTACATGCATAATGTACCAAAAGGATCGGAAACTCATTTTAAAGTATTAATTGTCTCCGATAAATTCAGTGATCAAACATTAATTAAGGTAAATTTTTTCTCGTAATTTATAGAAAATCGGATGTCAATAAAAAAACGAGACTTTGTTAAATTTTAGTCATTTAGCTTCATTATTATTTATATATTGATTACAAATTTTTCTTTTACACAGAAATTATTTTCACAAATTGAAAATATTTCTTTGAGAAGTTTACGTAAGAATTCGACTTATCGATATTAATTTCACTCTGCATTAAATTTTTTTTAACAAATGTTTAATAAAGAATCATTTTTTTTTGCAGCGTCATAGAACGGTAAACGATATTTTAAAAGAGGAACTTGCGAGTGGAGTTCACGCATTATCAATCGTGGTAAGAAAAAGAAAGTAAGTTACATTTTTTTTATAGAAATTTAACAAATTTTCATTTTTCAAGGCAAAAACTCCTGATCAATGGGAAAACAGTGCGAAGACAATTTCGCCTAGTCCACAATGTAGAGGCGGTTTTGGAAAATAGAATTTAATGCAGACAATGAAATAATGTAAATACTTCTAAATTTACATTTCTCGTAAATTATTAATACAATCTTTATATTTTGATCAAATTCTCAAATTTTTTTATACATTCCCTTTGTTATTTTAAATTTATTGCATATATCAGACTTTTCATTCACCTTTTACGAGGTAGAATTGTCAGTCAAGTTATATATAAAAAATTACCAATATTTTGAATATACTTTCTGTATATTTTTTTTTATATAGAGAAAATCATTCTTTTTACATTCTCATAAAAAAAAATTGATTTGTAAAAAGAATTCTCGTCAAAAATTGAGAAAGTCTTTACAAAATTTTATCTCATCGAGATGAAAGTCATATATAGAAAAATACGAAGCTAAATTATATTGATCCAAACGAAAAACAAAAAGAAAATGACAAAATTCCTAAATTAAGAATTTAATTTCTTCCTAGAAAAAAAAAATTCATGACAATTCTTTCACAATATAGAAAATAATATTGAATCATGAAAATGTCATAAAAATATTGATAAAAATTGGAACAAAAAAAATGCACTAATGTCAAGAGGTATAAGTGTCCAGTCTTAATCTTCCTTCATTTTCGGTTAGATATAAAATATCTGCCATTGATTGTTCGGCAATTGCTTCTTCCGCTTTTTCGTGCATCTATAAACAGAAAAACCCCCATCATTGTAAATTTAAATATTTTTCTTACTTGGAAAAATTAGATTTTTCAATTATTTTCTCTTAAGTAGAAAAATTAAATTTTTCCGATTTCTGGAAAAATATATTTTTAAAATTAGAATTTCCAAAAGTACATACTCCTCTGTAGGCAGAATCAGTAGGCGGGCATTTGAAATTAGGTCCAAAATTTACAGAAACTGTGGCACTCTTGTGAATTGAGATTGTCGGGAAATAGGCTCCCTTGTAAATATCAAGAAAAGCTTCTCCTTGAGAAACTCCATTTTTATAAAAAATAATTTTACTCGACGGAAGTGGTTTTAGAGCCTTTAATGCCTCGGGAACTTGATCCTTCTCTTCGTAGTAAAGATGACTTTTGAATTTCACTAGTGGCTGAAATTCGAAAACTCCATTTAATATTTCAATATTTATTTAACAAAAAACCAAAAGTTTCTTTTCTGAATTAAATTAGAGTTACAACTTGAATAATTAAATCAAATTTAAAATTTTGAATAATTATGATCCAATTATGATCCAAATTTTGAACATTCAAATGAACAAAATATTTTTTGTTAAAAGCATTTTCATAAATTACTAAATTCAATAGAAATTACAAAATTAAATTTTCTATTTAGAAACTATAACTTTTTTTTATATAACGACGCAAAATTATTGTAATAAAATTTTAATTTGAAGGAGTAGATAAATTTCGTTTAACTGAACATTCAGAACTTTAGGAAGTTGAATAATTAATTTAAAAAGAAAATTTGAAAATTTAAATACTTGAATGAAATAACTTAAATCTTGAAGAAATATCATAAAATTATTACTTATAATTTATTTAATGAATAATTTTACTTAAATATTTCTAAATTAATGGAATTTTAAAAGAGTTTGGTTACAATTTTCATAAATAGATCAACTTCAAAAGGTTTTAATTTTAAATTTTGCGAAATTTCTGAAATTAGTTACATTTTTTTAATATATATTTAACTAATTATTAAAAATAATTGATTTATAGGAGAATTTTACTTAAAAGACTAAAAGAAATTGAATTTTGGATAAGTTACAATTGATTTCAGAAATTCAATTATTTTCAAAAGTAATAAAATTCTTCGCAGAAATTAAATTATTTTTAAAATTCTTGGCAAAATTTCAATTATTTTCAAAAATTTCCCTCAATTCAATGATTTTCAATATCTATTATTTTAATAAAATTTTCTAAAAGAATTCAATTATTTAAAAATATTTTAAGAAAATTCTACGCAGAAATTCTATTATTTTCAAAAATTTTAATAAAATTCTTGGCAAAATTTCAATTATTTTCAAAAATTCCCCTCAATTCAATGATTTTTAATATCTACTATTTTAATAAAATTTTACAAAAGAATTCGATTATTTAAAAATATTTGAATAAAATTTTACGCAAACATTTAATTATTATCATAAAAAATAAAAATTCCACAGGAATTTAATTATTTTCATAAACAATAAAACTTATTACAGAATGTTCATGATTTTTAATACAATTTTAATCGAATTCCTCAAAAATGTAATTATTCTTGAAAAATTTTATTAAAATTCGTCAAAAGATTTAAATTATTTAAAAATTTGTTGATAAAATTCTTTATTAGAATTCAATTTTAAGAAACATTTAATTATTTAATAAATTATTTACTTATGTATTTAAATAATTTAATTCCCGTAGAATTTTATAATAAAAATTGATTTAAAAATGAATTTAAGTTAAAATTTTAGATAAAAATTAAATATTGAAAGCATTACACCATGAATTTTTGGAAATAATTGAATTTTGAAAAGGTTTCAAATTAAAATCTTTGAAAATTTAAATTTTTCATACTTTTAACTAACAATTCTGTGGAATTATGTAATTTAAAAAAAAAAAATTTAATTTATTTTTTTTAAATTATTTGAAAATTTTAATTGAATAATTTCCGAATAATCAAAATTTCGTGAAATTGAATTGTAAACAAATGGATTTGAAAATTCTCAAAGAACTTTTTCAAAAACTATTAAAATATTTGATTTAAAGAAGAATTTTATCTAAAAATTTCAAATAGGTTTTGAATTTGAAATTTTTGAAAATATCTTAATTCCTATGGAAAATAATTATTGATGAAATATTTATTTAAAAAATTAAATTTTGTGTCAACCCTAAAGAGGTTTAGTTGTAAATTTAATTTCTAAAAAGTTCTTTTTAAATTCTTTTAAATTCTAAACAAATTTCTACTCACTCTGTCTTTATAAGTATTCGGGATGTGTGATTTGTCGTATGTGTCAGGTAAGATTATCAAAAAACCTAAGGTATCTCCTTCACCATATCCAGAACTGTAGTGTTTTCCCCTACTTTCGTGAAAACGTGTTCCTTTTCTGAAATTATAAAAGAATATTTAAAATTATTTCCAAATATCAATTTCTCATAATATAAAATATTATCATATTTATTTTATAAGAAATTAAGAAATCGATGTACAGGCTTTATTTAAAATTTTCGCAAAATTCAAAAAGGAAAATTCGTCGGAATAAATTTTCCAATAAGACAGTTTTCTTCTTCTCACCTCGATCTCCAGCAGTAGCCAAATTTATCGTAACCAAGAGGTGCTTGTAAATTTGCATATTCCTGACCCCATCCTACTCTTATCGCTGATCCTTCGGGCATTTCTTCAATAGTCGCCTCCCAATACCATTTTCCTCTGCTGACACCTTTTGAAAAAGGGAAATTGAAAATTTAGGAACAAAATTTGCGTTAAAATTGATTTTTAGCAATTTATTTACTACTTGTTCGCCATTAATTTTATTTTATTTATTTTATCTTAAATTTCTATCTTTGAATTTATTTATTTTATGTTAATTTCATTTTATTAATTTATTTTATCTTAATTCATTTTATTTATTTTGTCTTATTTATTTAAATAGATAGTTAAGAGTGTGTCTCCTAAAAAAGATAGAGAGATAAAAGAGACTTACAATGAGTAGCTCTGACCATGCAATATCCTTTATCGCCAGTGACAGCGAGTCTATCCTCCGAAACTCTTAATTGAGGTGCTCGATCGTGTAACGCGAGTAAAACTGCACTCGGACTCAAAGATCTGTAAAGCCAGCCTGGAATCGGTTTTCCCGCCCAATCAGAGCTCTCATCAAATTCCTGTTCGAAAATTAAAAACTCATTTACCTTCAAACTAAGAGAATTTTTCGATCTTAAATTTTATTTTAAATTAAATCTAATTAATTTTTATTCGAAAAAGTTCTTTGACTATTTTTTAAATTCATTTTTGTTTACAAAATTCAATTTTACGAAATTCCAATTATTCGTAAATTCTTTCCTTAAATATACATATACTAGAAAATAAAAACTTGAATCAATTTTTATTAGCAAATTCTATTAGAATTCGAATAATTTAAATACAAAAATAAATAATTTATTGAATAATTGAATGTTTCTTAAAATTAAATTCTCATAAAGAATTTTATCAACAAATTTTTAAATACTTCCTCATGAGGTAGCAATAATTGAATTATTTTGACGAATTTTAATAAAATTTTTAAGAATAATTACATTTTTCAAGAAATTCTAGTAAAATTGTATTAAAAATAATTGAAATTCTGAGATGAGTTTTATTATTAGGAAAAATAATTGAATCCCTAAGGAGAATTTTATAAATTTTGAACATAATTAAATTTTTGCGAAGAATTTTATTACTTTTGAAAATAATTAAATTTCTGCAATCATTTGTAATTTCTACGGATTTTTTTTTTTAAATGACTTTTACGGACTTGAAGCAAACTTACGGACCTTTACGAGATTATTTACCCTGGGAGTATTAAATTTAGTTTGGAATATTAATTTTAATTCGAAACATTAATTTTAATTCGGAACATTAATTTGAATTTAATGAATTTGAAAAAATGATGATTTGAATAATAAATAGTGATTTAAACAAATATAAAAATGAGGATAAGAAAATTGTCTAATTAATCAAAATTTCAAACAGTTAATAATGCCCCACCTGTCTGAACGGTGCATGAGGATCGGGCTCAGCCAAAATGTATCTATAGCCATCCTTATTGAAAGGATGCTCGAGTGGATAACCATGTGCCGGAAGTTTTGGTGCAGCCATATCAGATCCTCTTCCCTTTTTTCCTGGTCCTGTTCCCGCTCCCTCACCCGGAATTTTACGCTTCGCATTACGACCACGAATACCACCGGTAAGTGGCACTGTTAAATTAAAATTATTCGAAAAATTAACACCTTCATTACAATTAACGTTACGTTTTGACATTGCAAATAAAATTCCACATAGAAGAAATTTTTTTCAAAATTTGATTAAATTAAAAACGATAATACCAAAGAGATAATTATCTCTCACTAAGTTATCGTCATCATTATTCCGATAAGATAAAATATAATTTACGATATTGTGTAATATCGATTTAAAATATAAATAATTTACAGGAAAAAAAGGATTTCTCCTTTGTGAATTTTATTTTCAATTTGGAATTTTTTTTTCTACTCACCTACATGCTCGACGCCCATTTCCGTTATTTTGAGTTGACCACCTTTTATCATGGCTTCATAATTTGGTTTTACTAGTAAAAGATCAGGTGTTATTAGACCGAACAATTGTCCGTCAGTGTTGTTCTCATCCATTGTGAAAAGTGTCCCCACATCTTTTAGCAGAGCTTTATGAATCTATGAATAAAAAATTATTATTGCGTTCTAAATAAAATGAAAATTATATTTAGATAATTAGGATAATAATAATTAATAATTATAATTGTAATAGGAATAGAAATCTTAATAAAGATTAAATAATATATGCGGTAAGAATTAAATTTAACCGACCGTTGCGTGCCAAGATTGTGTGACTCTTCGAGGCATTGTTGTCATACTTTCCCAATGACATTCGATAAACGGAATAATATCCTTGTCTTTGTGAAAAAATGTTCTATGATCATTCTCCTTTTGGCAAATTTGAAGTAAATTCGCAATTGCAGTTACACACATTTGTGGAAAAGCTGAAAAGCGAAAGGTATTTTTACTTTTAGAATTTCGATTATATAGAAATTGACTTCAAAGAAAAATGATGTTCACATTTATTGATTTAATTAAATTTAATTAATTAAATTAATGAAATGAAACGAAATGAAATTAATTAATTAATTAATTAATTTAATTTAATGGTCCACAATTTTTGAACGTTCAAACGAACATCATATTAAAATGAATATTAAATTAAATTAATATAGTTTAATATAATATTATTATATTAAACTAAATTAAAATATTAATTAAAATAAATATTGATAAAAGAAATTTCTAAAGTCATATAATTTAAATAATAAAGATCCTAAACTTATTTATTTCGCCGAATGGTTTCAAATTAGGCCAAAAAAATAAGTTTATCTTTATTATTTAAAATAAATAAAACAAATTTTACATTTAGAAACTTTATAATTAATTTTTGTTTATCAGTGACGAAAAATTATTGTAACACAATTTTAAATTGAAGAAATAAATAAACGTCTTCGATTTAAATGCGGAGAGCATTAGGAACTTGAAAAAATCCAGTTAACTTACGTGCTAAATTTTTTTTAAAACTCTCGAGTCCAGTTGGTGAGCAATTTTTACACATAAATATGTAATTCAACATAAATGGCACCAATTTTCCAAGTTGATAGCCAATGCAAGACTCGTGAAACCATCTTGCACAACTTGCACACAATAATTCGGCAATATTCAAATTACGATCCTTGCCACTAGAGAAGAAATATTAAAATTAGTTAATTTAGCAAAAATTAATTTTTCGTATTTAATTGATGACTATTAAATACTATTTTGTGATTAATTGATTATTCATATTTAGGAATTAGCAATATTTGAAATATTTAAAAGCAAATGAGAAATAAAACAATATCTTTTACAATACTTTTACAATTGACATTTAACAAATAAACAAAAGAAATAAAAAAACGAAAATTGCAACAGAAAAGACGTTTATCTATTGTTATAACTAAACGTTTCAAATTTTATTAGTGGAAATATTAATTTGTCTAACTAATGTTAGAAAAGGATAAATAAACAAATTTTACCAATAACAATTCCCGGTGTCGGAGAGAACGCGACCATTTGTTTTTTCATTATTCTCCTCAGTGGATAATTTGTTTTTATTATTTTCCTCGGTTTCTACTTTTTTAACATCGTTAACAACTTCCATTGCTTCATTTTGCACAACTTCTGGCAGGCTGAAAGTTAAATAAATAATTAAACGCAATGTTTGTCAAAAACATAACCTCAAAAATAAGTGTTTGCCACGAAAATACTAATATTCCATGACTATTTTTAATATTCTGCACTAATTAAACTATTGTACCTTTCCACTTTTTCCTCTGACATTGTTAAGTGCATTAGTTTTATGTCAAAATAGTGTTTTTTTCAATAGAAATCATTGAGTTTTATTCATGTTGTCAAACCATTCATTACTAACACGCCTAACGTACTGCCACTACTACTACAATGGAATGTCATTGATAAGTTGGTGAACGTAGTAACAGTGTAGCCAACCTGAGATATAATATTTTTCATTCTTTAAACTAAATTAAAATCCACTTGAATAAATATTTATATTTTTCTTAATTAATATCTGTTTAGTTTAATGTTAATATAGTAATAATTAATATATCAATAAATACTATTTTTTTACTACTCAAGAAAAATATTTACTTTGTAGACAGTTGGGAATATTGCGTATGTTGGCTATGCTGTTAGCTGTAGGGACTTCTGACAGGGCGGAAATATTTGAAATTTATACTTCAAAACAATTGTTTAAAATTTTTTAAATAATAAGAAATATATTTATTTAAACAATTTTAGAAAAATGGAAGAGAAAAATATTAATTCACGATTGAAGAATACAATTTTTATTGATTAGAACCAATATTACAGTAATTATTTATTGATTTTTTGCTAATTTCGAAATTGGCGAACATGCCTGACTAAAACCGAGCCTAACTACTGTGCCAGTCAATCCACTATTAACTGTATAATTATTAATAATAAATCATTAAAAGTAGTAAAAATATTAGTTCAATAATAAATACACTAAAAATATAGTAAATATAGTAAATATACTATGTAAATATAGTAAATATGAATAATATTAATAATGAAAAATAACATTGATATATATATTTGATATATTTTATGAAATTATAATTTTATATGTTTTAAAGATTAAATTAAAATACATATGTTTAATAATTTATTGTACTGTATTAAATTAATTAATTATTAATTATTATTTTTAAAAATATAATTAATTCAATAAACATTCGCAATGAAATTGATATTAATAACACTTACTATATTATTTTATTATTTATTATTATTATACGTTTTGAAAATAATTTTTTATATTTAGAGAAAAAAAATTAATTTGATTCAAATAACCGATTACTTGTCTATTATCGAATACAAATATTTTATTGAACCAATATAAATTTTATTTAAATTAATTAAATGGTATTTGCTTCAAATACTAAAATAATTATTGGTTCAAGTACAATTGAATTTAAATAAAAGTCATTAAAGTAAATATTTATTTGATAATGGATAAGTAATCTGTTACTTAAACAAAATAAATTTTTTTTGCACTGCAATTGTTAGTAATAATTTATTATAATTTGTTATTATTAAATATAAATGTCAAATTTGATTGGCATTTAGTATTAAAAATTTATTATTACTAATTATTATTTATTCTTATTCTTATTAATTATTATTAATAATTACGCTTTTTAAATTTTTTTTATTATAAGTTTCTTTTTATTTATTATATGTTTATTTATTTTTTTATTTTTAATTTATTTGAGGTATTTACATATCATATTAGTAATAATAAATTTTAATAAATAAAATGAATAATAATTTCTTATTAACAATTTATTAATGATTTCTAGGTATTATTTATTGCAGATATTTAAGAATTATACAATCATAATAATTTTTACGTTTTCTTTAAAAATTGATTTTTCATTTATGTCTTTTATAACAATTTAATTGTAGAGTAAAAAATCAAGGACAACAAAAAATTGCAATTCAGTTAAGAATTTAAAAATCTTATGTAAAAATATGACATATACTTATTATGTTTTGCGTGTAAATTATTATTATTTTTATTATTATAATTTTTATTATTACTATTATTATTATTTATTAATTAGTAAATTATAGAGAGAAATAGAAACTAAATGTTACATATTTTATCGACTTTATTTTTAATGATTTTTATTTTTTAAACAATTTTTCTTAACTACGTTAGAAGTTTGTTAGTTTATTGTTTTTGCTTATTTCTTATAATTTTATAATTAATTTATAAACTAATAGTCATAATTATACAATTAATAAATTAGTTATAATTAATTTAACTTTTTTTTTGTTTTTCATTATTTATTAATTCTTGGATTTTAATTAAATAACTTTATTTTCAGTTTTCTTCTTATTTATGAATTTTCTATTATTTCATTCATTTTGTATTTATTCATCTATTTACTCATATTTTACTATCAAACGACTGTAATAAAAATGTTTACTAATTTGAATTAGTGACTGAATTTTTGCTTTTAAATTAGTAAATTTTAGTAATAAATAAATATTAGTAGAAATTATTATTTATTAGTCAAATTTATTAATTCAGAAGCAAAAAAATTCAGTCACTAATTCAAATTAGTGTACAGTTTTACTAATTGAAATTTAGAGTTAAAATAGTACTATTAATTGACACAAATATTTATTTGTCACAATACAATCAAGTTATTGAGCCTTTGAAACAAATTTTTTTCTATATAAAATATTTTATCAAAAAAAAAAAAAAATGTTTATAAATTTGAAACTCAAAATAGGATTTTTCTTTTTTGGGAATATTTCCTCCATGTAGGGGGTTAACTAAAAGTGAAGGATTTAATTCATAAAAAGTGTATGTGTGTATATATATATATATATATATATATATATATATAGTGGATGTTAAAAACATGTTTTCCATTGATGACATCAATTTACACGTTCAACCTTCATCTATGTGACTCGTCTGAACTCATCAAGTCCATTTTCAATGAAAATGCCCTCGTGCACGCGCAGAATGTTGTATCATCCTGACGCCGGCGCCGTGACGACGTCACAGCGTCATGAAACATCCTCGAAGAATTTTTCTTTTCCTCTCTCCATCATTATCATCATGATCATTTTTTTTTTTATATTATTTTCCCTTTCTACAAAATTTCATATTTTTGAAAAACAAGTTTAATATTTTAATTTTTGGTAAATATTTTCCAAATATATGAAAATAAAAATTTGGAGGGGAATTGTAGTTTTTGAGGGGTGGGAGGAGGGTTTTTTTTCTCCCCCTAAAACAGAGAGAAAGTATGATAGAATAGAAAAAGAAGCAATGACATTTAAAGTGAGACAGATATTGATAACTAGGCCAGAATGTAGAGAGAGATGGAGAGACATTTGGAGAGGGAGAGAAACTGAAAATAAAGCGGTGGCTTGAGAGAGAGGGAGTGAGCTTGCGTCTACGTCAGGAAAAGCTCCGAGCTTATTGGTCCCGGTCCATTGTTGCGTATTGATTGCTGCGGAGCGGTGGTATGGTCGTCGGGACACTTGGTCGTCGTCGTCGTCGTAGTCGTCCTCGATGATGATCGGCGCGGCGGTGCCGTCAAGTCGTATGGGTTTACGGAAACGCGTCTCGTAGTTGTTGTCGTCGTCGTCGCCGTCGTTGTCGTTCTCGGTCAACCTCTGCCCGGGACAAACATTTTTGACACATATATATATATCTCTATATATATATTATATACATATATATATATAAATATAAAAATATATGTATATTCTAATATACGTGCTGTGTGTGTGCCAGTGCCGAATATCGCGGTGACGCATCTCCTCGTAATCGACGCCAGTGTTCTCCGGAAGTGACACCCAGGACTAGGCCACGAGAATATTTTTTTCTTCCCCCCCCCCCCCCCTGTTCATAATTCGTTTCAAGTGATACGAGAAAGGTTCTGGACTGTAAAAATAAACAGAAAGAAAAATTTTGTTGGATGTTTTTCAAAACGAATCACGAATTTCGAATTGTAGAGAAGAGAGGTCACGGTCCATTCGAAGTTGCCAAGGGAATAAGGAATTTGTTGAGATGCGACCCACTAAAAATGTCACGATAGAAATTTACGAAAGAATTTTGAAGAATCGATAGTCGAAAACTCTTTTTTTTTGTTTCTTGAATAGTGGAAGTAGTACAATGTGTAGAAAACAACAGCAACTGGTAGAAAGGAACAGGAATTGACGAAAAAAGTCAGAGAAAAATAGAGAGAAATCTGTTTCTGAAAAAGTAGAATTTTGGTCCAATTTTAGAAAAGTTTATTTATAGTTTACACTGAAGAAAAATTCTTTCTACATAATAGAAAGAAGTTGGAATATTATTTTGAAGAAAAAAAGGAAATATCAGAGTAATATTAATAAAAATTGTGGATATTTTTCGATTTACGGATGTTGTTTTGATGAAAAGTTGCAAGTGCTGAGAGTATCCGAATTCAGTGGGGAATATTGGAGTGAAAATTATTATCTGGGAAAAAATCTAGTTGATCATCATCATCATCTGTTGAAAAGATTGTCTACTCGAAAAATCATCTAAAAATTGTCATCTACGGAGAAAATTATCATTCACCAGTAAAGTTACCATCTAGTTATCATCTTATGAAGAATTTAGTGAAAAATCATTAGTAGGTGGTGGAATTTAGTGAAAAATCATCAATTTAGTGATAAAACATCATCCAGTGAAAGAATTTAGTAAAGATTCGTTATTGAGGAGGAAAATTATCATCTACTGAAAAAATCATCATCAGCTGGAAAAGTTATTATCTACTTAGGAAGTCATCAGAAAATTTATTATCTACTTAAGAAGTCATTACCCGGTGGAAAAATTATCATCTGCGTCATTAAATCGAAAAATCGTCATTCTGTGGTCCAAGCATCAAAAACTGGAAAGGAATTACTGTCAATTGGGGTAAAATCATCAACTATCGGAAAAAACAAACAACTAGAACTGATTAGAAGAATCATTAAAAATTTCGACCTCTAGAGAAATTGGCAATCAGAAGGATTATCAACTACTAGTAAGATCATCAACTAGTAGTAAGGAAATCTATAAGGAAAAAATATCACTAGAAAGAGACATTAAAACCACTAGGAAATCATTTAAGGGAGAGATCATTAACTACCAGTAGTAGGACCATAGACGAAAAATCCAAATAAAAGAAACGAAATAAAAGAAAATTACGTGAAGGATCATTAACTACTAGTAAGACCATAAGCCACTGGAAAGAGAACCATTAGTAAATTCATTGGATAATTAATTACGAGAAAGATCATTAACTACTAGTAAGACCATAAGCCACTAGCTAGAAAACCAAAAAATAAATCAAGGGAAACATCAACTACCAGTGAGACCATAAAATATTGGAAAGATTGTCAACCAGGGTCAGAATCGTCAACTACTAGTAAGACCAGAAACGAAAAGATCAACCACTAAGACCATAAACCATTGGTAAAATCATCAATTCCGAAAATTAGGAAAATAAGCAATAGAAAAATCAAGTGCTAGCAGGACCTTAACTAAGCAACAACTAGTAGGTCCGAATCCACCAGGAAAATCATCAATCGCTGAAAGGACAACTACTAGTAAAATCACTACATAGTAAAAGTCAGTAAGATCATTAACTACTAGGAAAAAGTCATCACCCACTGAAAAATCACTATCCCTAAAAATCCGCATTTGGAAATAGAAACCATCCTAAAAGCACTAATTCTCCAAAAAGTCGAAAAAAGAGAAAAGCAAAAACAAATTCAATTTCAAATTCAAAAATAGTGAAACATCAAGAAAAATCCAACGAACAATCCACAAAAAAAATCCCCCAAGTGAATTGAATTGAAAAGTGAAATAAAATTATGTGACAGTTTCGGAAAAATCAACAAACAAGACTATAGGAAAAAAAAAATGAAGAATTTAAAGTGAAATTTCCAAAGAAAACAAACATGAAAAAATAAAGATGTGGAGTGAAGGCAACGAGTAGTGAAACCAAACTTTGAAAAAAAAATCGATTTCTCCCCTTCGTTCCTCAAAAAAGGATAAACCCCCCCCCCCATAATATCGGAGTCTTTGATTGGAAAATAATCTCGTCAAGGGCAAAAAAAAAAAAAAAAAAAGAATAATGAAGCGAATGAAGAGCAGACTGTTGGCTGATCAGTGGAGACGGTGAATGTGTGACCCGGGGGCAGCCAGCAGAGATCTGCTGCCGGGATGACGTATGACGTGACGACCGAGCAGCCCCCGGTTGACGACTGCCTCAAAGTAAGGAAATGGTGGTGCTTCGTCCTCTCGAGTATATTCACCTTTCTCGCGGGGCTGCTCATCGTTCTGCTCTGGAGGGCCTTTGCCTTCCTTTGCTGCCGAAAGGAGCCCGACGTCGCTCCAAATGACCCCAAGCAAAAGGAGCAGAAGGCGGCCCGCCAGAATAAAGAGTTCGAGGGCACTTTTATGACCGAGGCCAAAGACTGGGCCGGCGAACTCATTTCTGGTCAAACTACCACTGGACGAATTCTCGTAAGTTTTTTTCATTTCGATTTTTCGTTTCTCTTCTATTTTTTTTTTAAAGATTTCTTGGATAATAATGTATAAACCCAAAAAAAACCCTCATAACGACATTTTCAAAAGCTTAGCTCAACTTTTAAAAATTTCCTCCGCCATATTGGATCCGCCATTTTGAATTCTTAAAAACCGACATTGAATTCGTAATCAGCAACCCCAAAAACTTTGGGGTAACAAGTTACATGCAAATTGAATGAAATTTAAAAAAAATCGTTCGCCATATTGGATCCGCCATTTTTAATTTTAAAAATTTTGAAAACTAACATCAGATTCATAATTAGCGACCCTAAAAACACCAAATTTGTCATGTTTGCTAAATTATATTAATTTTCTCTTTATATTTTGCTATTTTTATTGCAAATCTTACAAAAAAAAATTTGTGTTTATATTGTTAAAGAAAAAAAATTGTTAATGTATTGCTCATAAAGTTAAATAAATTTGCGAGTTACTTCCATTTAGAAAACAATATTTAAATTTTTAAAAGAGAAATGGATTTTCGATTTCAAAGTGGCTTCGATCGGAACCACTGGGTGTTAAGGGTTAAGGTCTCTGACTATAAAAATATATCTGGTGTTGTTTTTTCACAATTCTAAATAGTAAATGCAATATGAATTCTCAAAAACTAACATCAGATTCATAATCAGCGACAAAAAAAAAACCCTCGATGAAGAAGTCACAAGCGAATTGGATTAGATTTTTAAAAAGTCAGCCATATTGAATCCGCCATTTTGAATTTTGAAAAAGTAACATTAGATTAGTAATCAGTAACTGCAAAAACACCCGAATATCAAGTTTCAAGTTAATTCAATGAATTTAAAATAATTTGTTCGACATTTATTGGATTTGTCATTTGGAATTTTGAAAAACTTAACTTATCTCGAATTTGTAATTAAATCTACGACAAAAATTTAGTAAAATATGACTGAATTTTAGTATAATATATTATGTCATAATTATTTTTCTTTTATAATTAATTGAAAATTGTAATGATAAATATAGAAATCATCAAATTTTTTTTTACTTCTTTTCATTAAAAGACTAAAATTCTGTTAAATATTAAATGTTTTGTCAAATTGAAATTATGCAGATTTTTGTTCTTTACTTCTAAACAAAATTAGAAAATTTTTAAACAACTGTGATTAAGAAATAGAAAATTTATTTATTTTGCATTATTTTTCTTTATGAATCACAATTTTTTTAACAAAATTATAATTTTGTTTTAGAAAAAGAAGAAAAATATTTGCACAATTTCTATTTTTACTCTTATTTTTGGAACAGGATTTTCCACAGGAATTAAGACATTCAAAAATTTCAAATTCAAACCTTTTTTAAATTAAACCACTTATAAAAGTATTTGTTATAAAACATGAAGATATCGATTGCTCCGAGTCGAAGACTCGGAGTGATCGATTTCTTCATGTTTTCTAATAATTAAAGATGACCGAGAGATAAAATTATTATTTTATATTATAAGAATATTGTTACTGTAACTTCAGTAAAATTATTTTCATCATTTTAATTCAATTATTATTTTCTAGAATTTGAAATTATTTTTTATAGAAATAATAATTGAATTCCTTAAAGAAAATTTTATTATTTATGAAAATAATTGAATTCCTGTGAAATTTTTATTATTTATGAAAATAATTAAATGTTTGCATACAATTTTATTAAATTTTTTTTAAATAATTGAATTCTTTTTGGGAAATTTTATTAAAATAGTAGATATTATTAAAAATCATTAAAATTAGAAAAATGCATTTTATTTTTGAAAATAATTGAAATTAGGACATGAATTTTTTTGACATTTATGAAAATAATTGAATTCTGGAGAAGAATTTTGTTATTTATAAAGATAATTGGTATTTTTTTCAAATTTTGAACATAGTTGAATTTTATTTTTTTTTGGAAAATAATTGAATTTCTGCAATTATTTCTCATTTCTTCAAAATTGAATTTTTTTTAAGTGTTTTCAACAAAAATTTAAATTAGAAAATTTTTAAATTCTATTATTTTTAAAGTTGCTAATTTTATTTAAAAAAAGGCAGTTAGAAGTTTATTTTCATCCTTTTAAATCAATTATTATTTTATAGAAATTTAAATTATTTTTTTATGAAAATAAGAATTAAATTCCTGAAAAAAATTGTATTATTTATGAAAATAATTGAATTCTTGTGAAATTTTTATTATTTATGAAAATAATATTAAATGCTTGCATACAATTTTATTAAATTTTTTTTTAAATAATTGAATTCTTTTTGGGAAATTTAATTGAAATAGTAGGTATTGAAAATCATTGAAATTAGAAAAATGCATTTTATTTTTGAAAATAATTGAAATTAGGACATGAATTTTTTTGACATTAATGAAAATAATTGAATTCTGGAGAAGAATTTTGTTATTTATAAAGATAATTGGTATTTTTACGAGAATTTTTTTTCAAATTTTGAACATAGTTGAATATTATAAGAAGGATTTTATTTTTTTTTTGAAAATAATTGAATTTCTGAAATTATTTGTAATTTCTCCAAAATTGAATTTTTTTTAGTGTTTTCAGCAAAAATTTAAATTAAAAAAATGTATGTTTATAAAAAAAAATTTTAAATTAAAAATTGAAAAAAATATTAAATTAAAAAAAATAGTTTTTTTAAATTAAACAAAAATAATAATAATTCTGTTTTTGGTGACGATGATAATGTTTACAATGATCATGATAATATGGGTGAGGATAAAATGATATTGATGATAAAATTGATGATGATCATTTAATTCGTTTATTCATTGTTGGAACGCTCCTTGATCAACGTACACTTTTTTTTTGTATTTATGAGCCGTTGCGTTGATCGAACTTGACCGATTTAATCATTTTTCAGTAATTGAACATTTTATACACTCCGATAAATTTCAATTGTTTTTTTTCCTTGAACTAAAATGCGATTTATTCTTTTTTAATTGACAAGAAAATGAAAGAAGTGCAATTTTCTATTTTAGAATCAGGTAACGAATTTCTTTAAAAATTGAGATTGAATACTTAATTAAAGTGTCAAAAAGTACTGAATTTAATAGAAATAGTAGCTGAAATTTTAACCACTATTTGTTTGCTTTTAAAGCAGATGTAATTGAATTTAAGAGACTTAAGTAAGTTTAGCAACAGTTTGAAAATAAATGGAGAAAAAATAAAATAGAGAAAAAGCAAAAATAAACAAAAATTATCTAAAATTAAATTTAGAAGTGTACTGGAATTTAACAGCCGTATAAACTGAATCAAAGGGCAGAACTAACTGAATTTACAAGAGCAGATGAACTGAAATTTTTTATTTTAGTATTTACTGAATTGTCTTTATTTTCTCCTAGGAAACTGATTTTAAGACTTAAAGTTAGATTGCTTTTATTTTAAGCCCAAAAATATGTTGAATTTAAATCTTAAACTATAAATGACTTTTACAGTATAAATTCATCAGAAAAAAAATTGATGATTGAGGTGAAAATATTTTTTTGCGTTCATGATATATGTTTACTTGGAGAAACCAAAAATGAAAAAAAAATTCCATTTAGCAAAGAGTCATAAACATTGCGTGAGAAAGTTTTCTGACATTATATCGACATTTCAAATTTGTTGCGTACTCGCTTCAGAATACGAATGCTTTTTCAAATTTGCGGTTGCATTTTTTAGCCGCATATATTATTAATTGCAAATTATAACAGGCAATTTAAAAACAAAATATTACAAATTTTTTCACAAGAAAAAAAAAATGAAAAAAAAATATATATATTGAGTGTTAATGGGCACTCTCTCGCAGGTATATTACGCAACACACTTTTTTATGCATCATCACTCGCTTGCAATATAAAAATATGTCTGAGTAGTAAAAATTAAAAATAAATAGGAAAACTTATTTTATCGTAAATATTTTCTTCTTTATAAAGTTATTTATTATATATTTTTTCTTATTATTTATCTTTATTATATACTGACAAGTAAATTTTCATTCTTTTTTCTTCTCTTTTTTCTCAACTTATTTATACGAATTCTGAAATTTTTTTTTTAGTTATAGAGAGACGAAAAGTTATTATACTATATTTATATATATGCATATTTGTATATCTATATAAAAACTTAAGTGATAAAATTTATTTTTATCGTGTTTGAAAAACTTTTTTTATAATAACGTTTAGAAAACAGTAATCCCATAATAAAATTTGGAAAATTCTTCTTTCGACATACGATGTTCTCTGAAAAAAAAAATTATTTTTATTTAAAACTTTTTTCTTGAAAGAATAATTATAGTTCAAATTTTTTTCTTGAAAATACAAAATATCTTTTCTTTATTAAAATTCGAATTTAAATTTAAAAACTCAAAAAAATAACGTAAATTTAAAAATTTTCTAAATTTTACTTTCTTTAATATTATCTATTACTAATATTGTCATTAAAATATAATTATGTAATTATAATTAAATATTATAATTGTGGTATTTTCTGATTGTTACATAATAATCAATAATAATTATATCATCAATAATTATTAATAATAATAATTTTAAAAAAAAATTGTTTTTAAATTAAAAAAATTACAGTGGCAGTCAAATTGAACATTTTTTTTTGTTTTTTAAGTTAAAAATTGTATTTTTTATTTTACTTTCATTATTATTCTGAACAGAAAGTTACTCTTCTTTTTTTATTAAAGGTTACACTTTCATCTATCACATATAAATGATACTCTCTGTTGTAGAATAAAGGTCGGTCGTACGATGTACCTTATACGTGGTCAGAATGAACGAGTACATCGATTTTACGTTTACATCTATATATACATATTTACAAACAAGAAATTCCTAACCCTTTTAATGGGAAATTTTTCCCTTATAATTAGTTCTCAATAGTAGTATGATAATAAAATTTATATGTTGAAGACAAAGGGTGAATTTTTTAAAAAATATTTATCAATTTATTT